CGCCCGCGCCTCGGGCCGCCGGCCGCTGGGCAGGCCAGCCCATGCCGGGCCCACCCTGCGGGCGCGAGGGGGCCGACCCGAGCTCGGGAGGGAGGAGACGAGGGAGGAGGGAGGGAGGGAGGGAGGAGACGAGGGAGGGAGGGAGGGAGGAGACGAGGGAGGGGAGGGAGGGAGGGAGGAGGCAGGCTCGGAGGAGGGAGGGAGGGAGGAGAGGGAGGAGCGGGGGAGGAGACAAGGGAGAAGGAAGGGAGGGAGGGAGGGAGCGAGCGAAAAAGCGAGGAAGGGAGGGAGGACCAAGCGTTACATGAGGTGTTCCTGTGCATGTGGGTTCCGACTGGGTGGCGCAGGGGCCCTTTCCTGAAGAGGCCGCGACCCGATTACCACTTACGCTACCAGCCGAGCCCACAAGCCGAGAGACGTAAGCGAGGAAGGGAGCGAGAAGGAGGAGGAGGAGGAGGAGGAGCAGGAAGAGGATGGACGGATGGATGGATGGATGGCCTCCCAGCGAGGTGGAATGTTGAGGCTGCGGGCACAGCCTCAAGTAGGGAACCGGGGGGCCTCGTGGGCAGGAGGAGGAAGAGGGAGGGAGGGAGGGAGGGAGGAAGGGAGGGATGGAGGAGGAGGAGGGGGGAGGATGAAGAATGAGGAGGGAGGGAGGAGGGCGAGGAGGATGGGGAGGGAGGGAGGGAGGCAGGGATGAGTCCGTGCCCAGTTTTGTCCTCAACTCTCGAGGGTCCAGGGGGCGGGGTCGAACGTGTTCGGCCCTTGCCTGGCCTCCAGAACCTCAGGGGGCACCCAGGGGCCTCGAGGGGAGCAGGAGCAAGGGCGGCAGCAGAGCTTGCCAGGGATGGGGAGGAGGATCGGATCGGACTGGGCCGGGTGTCGTCGTCGTCGTCGACGACGTCGTCGTGGTCGTCGTCATCGTCGACGTCGTCGTTTGCAGTGAACACCACCGCCACCACCGCCAAGACCCACCCCTCCTCCCCAGACCCCCGTCGCGTCGCAGAAAGGCCAAAGCGGAAAGTCGTCTACCATTTCTGGCCTCCCGGGGCCAACAGCCGTCAACAGAAACGGCTCGGGATGGTGATAAGCTGGTCTGTGTGGGGATGGGAACGATACCCCTAGGGGTCCACATTCCTCCTCGTCCTCGTCCTCCTCCTCCTGCTCCTGCTCTTCCTCCTCCTTCTCCTCCTGCTCCTCCTCCTCCTCATCATCATCATCCTCCTCATCCTCCTCCTCATCCTCCTCCTCGTCCTCCTCCTCCCCCTCCTCCTCCTCCTCATTGTCGTCGTCCTCCTCATTCTCCTCTTCCTCTTCCTCCCACTCCTCCTCCTCCTCCTCCTCCTCCTCCCTTCTCTCCTCCTCCTCCTTCCCTCTCCTCTTCCTCCCACTCCTCCCTCCTCCTCCCTCCTCCTCCTCCTCCTCCTCCTCCTCCTCGGCCTTCTCCTCCTCCTCCTCCTCCTCCTCCTCCTCGGCCTTCTCCTCCTCCTCCTTTTCCTCCTCCTCTTCCTCCTTTTCCTCCTCCTCCTCCTCCTCTTTCTCCTCCCCCTACTCCTCTTCCTCCTCTTTTTCCTCCTCCTCATCCTCCTCCCCGTCTTCCTCCTCATCATAATCCTCCTCTTCCTCCTCCTCCTCTTATAATTATTATTATGATTAGTATGTGTCTTATTCGTATCATGATCATGTTTCTTATCATACGTGTTACTCATATTATGCTACGCTTCTTCTTCGTAGTATTATTAGTAGTACTATTCGCATTCTTATTCTTATTGGTTGTATTATCATTCTAAGTGTTAGGATTATTAGTATTATTATTAGTATTATTATTATTTTTATTATTATTATTAGTATTATTATTGTTATTATTATTAGTATTATTATTAGTAGTAGTATTATTATTATTGTTATTATTACTGTTATTATTATTACTACTAATATGAGTATTATCATCAGTATTACTATCATTGATATTATTATTGATATCATTCGTATTAATATTATTATTAATATCATTATTAATATTACTATCATTATTAGTATTAGTATTATTAGTAGTATTAGTATTAGTATTAGTATTAGTATTAGTATTAACATTAGCGTTATTATTATTAGTAGTAGTAGTATGATTAATAGTATTGTGATTATTAGTAATATTATTCAGTTTTATGAGTAATATTATTACCAGCATCAGAATTAGTATTACTAGCATTAGTATTACTAGTATTGTTACTATTAGTAGTGGTATTATTATTCTTCTTATTAGTACTAATATGGTTCTTAATATTGACAAGATTGTCATTAGTAGTATTATTGTTAGTATGATTACTAGTATTCTCAGCATTATTATTGGTGATAATATTCTTAATAGTAACAGCATCATCATCAGCATTAACATCAATACTATTAGTTGTACGATTTTTAGTATTAGCAGTATTATCATTAGTATGCGTACTATTTTTATTAATGATAGTATTATTAGCAGTACGATTAGTAGTATTCA